TTTTAAACTTTCAAAATGAAAAAATCAATAAAAATAGTTTAATATTTTTATGAAAAAATTATTCAAAAGTATTTCCAATTAATAGTATAGTTTAATAATTAATATATATATATAATTTATATAAGAAATTAAATATCATTCTTTCATATAGAAGAAGATTCATTTTTTAGTTTAAATTATTTGTGTTATTTTATATCATTAGATGTTAAAAATGTATATACATTCTAAAGTATGTATTTATAATACATCAAAAAGTTGATAAAATTGAAAAACTAATAAAAATCCCCCTATACATTAAAAGAGAAGTCACTTTGACACGTGGCACTCATAGAGGCCTTCTCAGAAGAATTCTAGCGATTATATTGGTTGATTTTTTAGAATTTATTTTTTGATTTATTTTTACCATCGATACTACTAAAAAGGAAATCCATTTAAATACTTACCTTTTGTGTTTTCTCGATTCAAAGAACATTCTTTTGCGATCTTTTCTATGTTTAATTCATTAAATACTCATTAAATATTTTAGATGTCAGAGAAACAAAATTAATTGACAAGATATGTTCACTCTTAAAATCATGCATTTAAAACAAAATTAATTGATAAGATATTTTCTCTCCTAAAATCATGCCTTTAAAACTTAAACCAAAATTATGGTGCAATCTATTCACGAGATGTTCTCACTTAGCTTTATCAACAAGATATTCCAAAAATAATATTACCTTAAAAATATAAGATTTATTGAGAATTTATTAGAGAATATGTTACTTCTTAGCTTATCATGCAAGCTAAATCATTGAGAAACGTCCATCAATTTACTATAAATAAGACATTCACAGTAGAAGAAATGAAATCATTGAACTTTGTAGTCTGAACTTTTTATNAGATATTCCAAAAATAATATTACCTTAAAAATATAAGATTTATTGAGAATTTATTAGAGAATATGTTACTTCTTAGCTTATCATGCAAGCTAAATCATTGAGAAACGTCCATCAATTTACTATAAATAAGACATTCACAGTAGAAGAAATGAAATCATTGAACTTTGTAGTCTGAACTTTTTATGTTAATAATGTTCTAAACTTTTTTTTTCTTCTTATTTTATAACATTAAGCTTTTATATTTCATCAGCGCTGATTTTTCTTTTGGTTTATATGCAGATATCCTATTATGACGATTTCTCCACTGAAGCTATATATGATTTGATTGTAGACCTCTTTGATATATCATTTCGATAACATCTTTGTTCCTCAATCTGGTAAAAAAAAATTATCTATTTGATAACATCTCTCAGCTATATCATTTCAATAGCATCTTTTTGTGCTGCCAATATTTTTTTTTATTAGTAGATTTATATTATTGTTTAGAATTATAAGCTTATATATACATATATATCTCTTTGGTTTGCTGATTGTGATTTTGTTTTATGATCTTTTTTAATTAAAATTGATATATTTTTTTTGGTTTGCAATTATATGATCTTTTTAATTAAAATTAAATATATATATAGTAATATTTATTAATCAAAAAATTATATGAACTACTTTTTATATTTATTATTTCCTTATTATATATCATTTAATATTTAAATATCTATAGTTTAAATGTAATTTACCTTAATGTTTTTAGTTGATTAATGACCTACCTTATTTTGAACACATATTACTTGTGCAACTTCAAATTATATTTATTCCATTGTTTTAATTCAATTTACCTTAATGTTTCTAATTTGTTAATNTAACTGTTTCATTATTTATTATGAAATTATATTCCTAAACATCATTTGTTATGAAAATATCTCCCTAATAACATAAGAAAAAAGGAAGGTAGAGTATATATAAAGGAGACACCTAAGGGATGTCAATACTAACTTATTAGTCTATTTTTATTCGATAAAAAAATTTAAATTTATAAATTCTTACATTTGTTTGTTTTTTTCTATTAACAGATAAATAACACAGACGAAAGACTGGTTGTAGTTAACTACAAATCATTTATCAGTTTGTTTCAATAGTGATATGCAAATTTAATATTATTTTTGTCTCAATAAAATTTAGAAATCTATTAAATTATTTTATATTGTACAGTTGCTAACAAATTTGACAATTTTTTGCAGGTTTCTATTGGATATTTTTAATTCATAATTGTTCTTCTTATTTTATATTACTTATTTAATTCACAAGATTGATTGGTAATAATTAAGAATGATTTATGTTAACACATTAATTTCAGAACATCTATATAGAAATAAAAAGAATGAAATAAATAATACGAATATATTATTTGATACTAACTTTTCGTGCAACCATATCAACACTGTTATATATATATCTTACATTTTCTTATGGTTTACATTTTAAGTTGCTTATTTTCTTCAAAGCTTAATCTAATGACGTTTTTTAGAAAAAAATAACTTATGTGCCTGTGTACTTAAAAAAAGTAACAAAATATGAATGTCTATTTTGAAAATCTAAAACATAGATATGGAAAAAAATAACTTCTTCTGTTATCTGCAAGGACTATGATGAAGAAAATATTGAAATTATTAAAGAAGCATGTTATTGGGCATCAGCAAAGGATCTACACAAGATGTTTTGTGTCCTATTACTAACACATAGTATCATAAATCCAGAAAACGTTTGGAATGCTACTTGGAAAAAAACTATCACAAGATATATTATGCAACCAAAGAAAAAATACGGATAAACCGTTTTGTGTCCTACTATCAGCAAAGAAAATAATGTAATAAATAATACAAATATATTATTTGATACTAACTTATCGTGCAACCATATCAACACTGTTATATATATCTTACATTTTCTTATGGTTTACATTTTAAGTTGCTTATTCAAAGCTTAAGCTAATGACGTTTTTTAGAAAAAAATAATTTTTGTGCCTGTGTACTTAAAAAAACTAACAAAATATGAATGACTATTTTGAGAATCTAAAACAGAGATATGGAAAAAAATAACATTCTTCTGTTATCTGCAAGGACTATGATGAAGAAAATATTGAAGTTATTAAAGAAGCATGTTATTGGGCATCAGCAAAGGATCTACGCAAGCTGTTTTGTGTCCTATTACTAACACATAGTATCACAAATCCAGAAAAACGTTTGGAATGCTACTTGGAAAAAAACTATCACAAGATATATTATGCAACCAAAGAAAAAATACGGAAAAAATACGGATAAAAACTATCAGCAAAGGATCTACGCAAGCTGTTTTGTGTCCTATTAAATTATTTTATATTGTACAGTTGCTAGCAAATTTGACAATTTTTTGCAAGTTTCTATTGGATATTTTTAATTCATAACTGTTCTTATTTTATATTACTTATTTAATTCACAAGATTGATTGGTAATAATTAAGAATGATTTATGTTAACGCATTAAATTCATAACATCTATATAGCAATAAAAAGAATGTAATAAATAATACGAATATATTATTTGATACTAACTTTTCGTGCAACCATATCAACACTGTTATATATATCTTACATTTTCTTATGGTTTACATTTTAAGTTGCTTATTTTCTTCAAAGCTTAATCTAATGACGTTTTTTAGAAAAAAATAACTTATGTGCATGTGTACTTAAAAAAAGTAACAAAATATCAATGTCTATTTTGAGAATCTAGAACAGAGATATGAAAAAAAATAACTTCTTCTGTTATCTGCAAGGACTATGATAAAGAAAATATTGAAGTTATTAAAGAAGCATGTTATTGGGCATCAGCAAAGGATCTATGCAAGCTGTTTTGTGTCATATTACTAACACATAATATCACAAATCCAGAAAAAGTTTGGAATGCTACTTGGAAAAAAACTATCCAAAGATATATTATGCAACCAAAGAAAAAATATGGATAAACCAATTAAGCTCATGTTTTTATCAAAAGAAAACGTCATTAGAAATTGTGTTTGGGTAAATATAATTTTTTACATGTTCTTTCAGACTTGGAGTAGATTGAATCAATCATGCTTTTGAACGGAAGCTCATTGACGTTGTTTAAGTTTAGAACGTGTTATCAATAGTATACTCTTCTATTGGTTAAGCTGTGGCTTTTGTTAGAATTTCTATTAATTGAATTTTTTGTTTTACTTTTGTGAAAATCTCGTTATTGTAATGTTATAAATTAATAATAAAAGCATTTTCTCATTATTGTCGTATAAGTTCTTCATTTTTATTACATCTTCTTTTTCATAGTATTTTCTTAAACTTTTATTAGATCACTGAAACAAAAAGTGAATTGATGTATTAAATGTACTAATCTTTAATGACCTAATTAAATTCCATTGTCCCAAAATTCACTTTTGAGAGAGAGAGAGAGAGAGAGAGAGAGAGAGAGAGAGAGAGAGAGAGAGAGAGAGAGAGGGATATGTGTAACATTTCTTTTAATCTGTATACATATATTTTACGAAAAATTTATGCATAATAATATTTTTCACCTAAAATTAAGAATTACAACACATATACAATACAACTCTAATTAGTGATAATAGAAAATATGTTACTTATAAAACTACACACTATTAATTTCAGATTTGAAAAATAAAATTCAACCTTCAACACACAAATTTTTTTGTGATGTTGCAATTATAAATACACACAATAACTACCTATTGATACTGAAGTTACTTTGTTCCATCTCCTCCATGTAAAATATTGTGTACCAGCATTTTTCTATGCCTGATGTTTCACCTCAAAGACGGTGGTCTTATGATATAAAATCTATTACTTCTAAAACTTTGTATTATTAAGTCTATAATTTGAATTTGTATATACCTGCACAGGGTGCGGACCGGTCACCTAGTAATATTTTAATTTAAATAATCACAATTTTAGAAAAAATTAACTTTAGTAGGTAATAAGTAAAATTATAATTTTAGAAAACATAAAGTTCAACGTCATCAATTTCTTAAGTTTCTTTGGTGTACTTGTCGGCATATATATATACAATCGCGTGTGTTATTAATACCCTTCACTCCTTATCTCCGCCTCTTAGGGTTTCTCTGGAAAAATCTGAGAAACATGGCGGACGAATCTCACTACTCCAACAAGCGCAAGTACGATGACCAGACCGCTCCTCCCCCGCCAACCCGAAGACCCACTGGCTTCTCCTCCGGCCCGATCCCATCTCCTTCGCCAGATCCCTCCACCGTTCCCCCTCCGTCGTCCTACAACAGCGTCCCTCCTCCGATGGACGAAATCCAGATCGCTAAGCAGAAGGCACAAGAAATCGCTGCTCGTCTCCTCAACAGCGCCGAGGCTAAGCGTCCTCGCGTCGACAATGGCTCCTCTTATGATTACGGCGACAAAGGGTTTAGCTCTTACCCTTCTGGTGAGTGAAAAAAGCTTCCTGAAAATTAGGGTTTTGAAAAGCTTATTGATTTGTAGGTTTAATCTTTGATTTCTAGAGGGTAAGCAGATGTCGAACACGGCTCCAACTTCGATACCTGTTTCGTACGGTAGCTTTACTGGATCTGTGAAGAAGATTGATATTCCGAATATGAGAGTTGGTGTTATCATTGGTAAAGGTGGAGAAACGATTAAGTCTCTTCAACTTCAATCTGGAGCTAAGATTCAGGTTACTAGAGATATGGATGCTGACCCTAATGCCGCTACGAGAACTGTTGACCTTACTGGCACACCAGATCAGATCTCAAGGGCAGAGGAGTTGATCAATGAAGTCCTTCAAGAAGTACTCCTACTCTTTTTTTTTTTATCATTGTGACAGGAGAGCTCTGTGTTAAACTTATACTAATATCTTATGGTTTTCGTTTCAGGCTGAATCAGGTGGTACAGTTGGTTCAGGTGGAGGGTCTCGTAGGATGGGTGGACAGCCAGGAGCTGATCAGTTTGTTATGAAAATCCCTAATAATAAGGTACTTAATGCTCTGGAGATCGACAGATTTGTGTAACTTCTGTCTTGTATGTAATCCACAAACTGCTCTAGGTTGGTCTGGTGATCGGTAAAGGAGGTGAAACAATCAAGTCTATGCAAGCTCAGACTGGAGCTCGGATTCAGGTATGTGAAACTACAACATATATGCAAGCATCTGTTTGTCTTTTGCAGGTGAAAAGTTTTTTTTTTTAAACCTGCTTGAAATTTTCTGCAGGTTATTCCTTTGCATTTACCCCCTGGAGATCCAACACCCGAAAGAACTTTGCAGATTGATGGGACCACCGATCAGATTGAGCATGCTAAACAATTAGTTAATGAAATCATCAGTGGCGAGGTATGTTTGATTGCTGTGTTTGCTATGGATTGTGGAAGGTTTCTGCAGTCTCTATTTTTCTACCTGAATTGATATTGCGTTTTGATTACATCATATATTTGTCAAAAGCTTTAGAATTATCGAGCCTATCTCTTAATCTGTAGATGTTAAGACACTGCTATGCAGAAAATTTAAATTTTCATTTCATTCTGACATGTGAGGAGTGATCTAGGTTATACTTGATATAGGTTATTCTAGTTTCACGTAGCCAATGCTTCAGCTGCTAAAGTACTTTTTTTTTCCCAAACCGAGCTATACTCTTCTTATTTATGCCTTCATTTCTGATTGTATCGGCTCCACGATTTGCATATATACTATGGAGTATATTGTTCGTCTCTTCCACGTATATCCAGAGGAAGGTGCTTTATTCTGTAATTTTCTTGACTTCTTAGAAAAGATATTACATCTTGATATTCCTTGGCTCCCTTGTTACCGATAATATGTTGTTTCCTCTTTCTCTGTTCATTCTTCGCCAGTACCTTTCTTCAACGAGTTTCATGCCTTTGTTGCTATCTTTATATGACAGTTTTATTAACCTTTCCTAGCATATATAGTGTCATCTGTTTTTAGCATGCTTCTTTCTAAACTCTATTGCTAACCAAGAGGTATTATTAGCAGACAAAGTTTCAAAAGATATTTTGGTAGTAGAAACTTCTATTATCTTGTTTATGGTGTGTATGCAGACGTCTCTGTTACATTGCTTTGTGTTACACTGGAGTTGGCATATTCTACACTTGATATTTTCATTCCAACCTGCTGTGATAGTATTTCTAACATTTCTATATTTTATCACTTTTGAGTTCTGGTTTGTACAATACATGTGATATTCTTTTTGTTCGAATATTCTTATTTTTTGTCAAAATCACTTTGGTTCAGCGTTTTCTTCTTGTTTCCGTCATCAAGGTATCACTAAAGGTGGGCGACTAACCTATTGACCTATCTCGTCAAATATTTTGCTAACCTAGTAACTGTTTATATTCTGCTTTCTGCTTGCCTCAATTCTTCCTGGATTCGTTTTAAGCTGGACCATTCAGCCATAATATACTTCAGAGAGCTCATATCCCAGCTTGACTCTGCTTATATGTTCCTATGAATATTGGTATTTTTGAAACGGCATTCTTTAGTCTGTATTAGGTTGCCTTGCTACGCAAACTTTGCCTTCAAGAATATAGGTTTCATGTATATATATGTTGCTTGTATCTGCAAAAGCTTCTATAGTATTCGTGGTTTTTCTTGTACCTATTTTACCTGGGATAGGGAAAGGAATGGGCTTCTGCAGGAGTAACCCAATAATTTCACCAATCAGTACGGTATGTAGGCATAACCATACCCTTCTAGAATATGATATGATCTTGGTTGGTCCTTTATGGACGGATATTGGTAAATGACATCACCGTGTATGCCTTGATCTAATCTTCTTATCCGTTGTTTTATGCCTGTGTGTTTATGTGTGTTTTATGCTGTGTCGTATTTTTATTTTTGTTTTTTTCTGAAGTTATCTATGCTTATACTATTGTATATTTTTTAATGCAGAACCGCATGAGAAACTCATCAATGGGTGGAGGCTATCCACAACAAGGATACCAATCCCGCCCGCCGTCAAGTTGGGCACCATCTGGTGCTCCGCCACCACAACAACCTGGTTACGGTTACATGCAACCGGGAGCATATCCGGGTCCACCTCAGTACGGTCAATCACCTTACGGAAGTTACCCCCAACAAACTACAGCTGGCTACTCTACCTGGGATCAATCCTCTGTGCCACCTTCCCAGCAGGGCGCACAAGGTGAGTATGATTATTACGGTCAGCAACAGCCACAGGCCCCAAACACTGGTGGAAGCTCAGTCCCACCGACAGATACCACAGGGTACAATTACTACCCGAATACTTCTGGTTACGGCCAAGCTGGTCAAGGGTACCAACAAGGTGGGTACGGAGCTTATAACGCCTCACAACAGTCGGGATATGGCCAAGCTGGGTATGACCAGCAACAAGGTGGTTATGGCAGCACCACTAATCCGGGTCAAGAGGAAGATACATCTCAAGGCGCTCCACAATCATCGGCTCAGTCTGGACAAGGTGGTTATGGAACAGCTGGTGAACAGCCTACACCTCAAGGTAGTACTGGTCAAGCAGGGTATGGAGCTACTCCAACTTCTCAGGCTGGTTACAGCAGCCAGCCTCCAACAGCTTACAGTTCTGGATATGGAGCACCACCACCTGCTGGACAACCACCGGCTTATGCTCAGAACCAGCAGTCTCCTGGCGCTCCTGGGAGCTATAGTGGTCAATCTGGGTATGCGCAACAAGCTGGGTCGGGTTATGGACAGCCTCCAGCATATGGGTATGGTCAAGCACCTCAGGGATATGGGTCTTATGGAGGTTACACTCAAGCTCCTGGTGGTGGTGGTTACTCTTCTGATGGGTCTGCTGGAGCTGCTCCTGGTGGTGCTGGTAGTGGTACGCCGGCTTCCCAGAGTGCTCCACCAGCCGCGCCTAAAGCATCCCCAAAGAGTTCATAACTTCTGTGGAAAAGTTTCAGCTGCTGTTAAAATACAGGCTTTCTTGCTCTTGACTTGTTTTCCTCAGAATATCTTTTAATGTTGTGTTTGACGTTTTAGTTCTTTAACATTTTATTTATATTTGAGAAAATGCTTTATGTTTGATTCATTTTGCTTTCCTTCCTATGTTCTTATCTTTCGATATTAAGAAATGAAACTAGCTTTTGAAATCGCAGAGAACTATTTTTGTTTATAAAATTTATTTCATATAAATTAGAAATGCATCTATATTTTATACATTTAAAACCACCAAAATAACCTTCAACTTTCACAAATAAGCAACTAAGCAAAAAAAAACTTGAATTTGAACAATTTAAATTACTAATTTTTAAAAATTGGTCAATTTAATTTTACATTTATGCTGACCAGGTCATTTAACCTACTCCAATATCAACTGTTAATTATTATAAGTAAATCAGAAACTTTGTTAACTCTGTGTTTAATCTAATATTAGACAATTTAAAAAAAACTTTAAAAACCTTCTCAAGCCTTAATTATCAAAATATACCGTTCATTCTCTCTTGTGACGAGAAACTTGAACAATAAGGATGATACAAAAGAGGTGTATTGCTAAAGTGATGATACAATAATCACACATATTAAAGAGCTAGAAGAAATAGAACTCACCATGTTTTGAACAAGTGATCCTGACTACTTAGCTTGCGCAAAATATAAGACCAGATCATTTCACTCCAAGGGTAGAGAAGAAACAGATGATCTATGTTTTCCACATCAAAACTATAGAGGACAGGTGGTTGAGATGTTTAGTCCCCAGCCCTTAAAAAGAAAATGAAGCAGAGAAAAACGTATCATGACATGCTCTAAGTGTCAAGAAGAAAGTCATTACAAGTCAACTCGTTCTAATGAGAGAGTCGAGAATGCGCCCAAAATGCCAAGAGGTCGACACAGAAGAGATTTTGGTATGATTCTTATTGTTTAATTACTAATGAGAAGGATTGGATCACAGTTTGTTTTACCTACTATGATATATTTTGTAGGAAGAGTACTCTCAAGCATCTCAAGGACCATCTCAGCCTCAAATGTGATTGTCTCTGTTTTTATCAATGTGTTTAAACTTATTAGTATGTGTTTGAAACATAATAAGAGAGTACTTTTATCATCGTTCTTGTTGGTTGTTGTGTCACAGAGGCTGAACGTAAGAATCATTATTTTTCTCATATTAAGCAGAGTAACCATATGCAGAGTTACAACATGAGAGGCTAAATGTCAGAATCATTGGTTCTTCTCTTCTTAAATAGAGCCAAAGCTCTCTCACAAAAAAAAAAAAAAGGAAAAGCATAAGTTACAAATTCAGAATAATTATTAGTATAAATCAAGAGATATTTACTTTGGAAGACACAATATCAGTTTGCAATTACACCAACAGACACAATCATATATAACACACATTGTGTTTGTCTTTTTACCTTAATGTCCCTTAACTGAACCGGTTTTATCGTTAACTAAATTGCCTCTTCCATTATTTCCATTTAGTTAGAATGATATTTGTTTAAAAAAGAAAAATAAAAAATTAATCGACACCTTACCTTTCCCATTATCTTTTCATCCAAATCTAAAAACAGATCCAAATAAAATCTTCATCTAAAATCGATCTTTGATACTGCTCCCTAATCCTCCAAAAATCTTTTCTCTTCTTGAAATTCCCAAATCTGGAAAATTTTCACAAAGTGAACCCTAGATCTAAAAATCCAATTTAGAATGAGAAATTAGAGAAATTGAACTCCAATCCCCTTTCTCTCTTTCGTCATCTTTTTCTCGATCCGAGATTGTCTTTAGTCCCCTTTCTCCCTTTCATCATCTTTTTTCGATCTGAAACACTTTTTTCGATCGGTGGTGATGGTTAGAAACTTAACGGCAGTGGATATATCAGTGGAGGCGATGATGGTTAGGAGCTTGGCAGTCGCAACATAACTATGAACGAGACTCAATAGCATGGAAGCGGTGGCATGGCAGTGGAAGTCGGGGTTAAGGTGGATGTGGATACCACAATGGAGGTGTGTGGTTATGGAGGAGGTGGTGGTGGAAAAAGAGAGTTGGGATATAGTGGTGGTCAATACGGTGGTGGTTGATACATAGGACGTGGCTACTCGAAAGGAGGATGTGGTGGATACGGTGCATGTGGAAGTTATAAGGATGGGGACTATGGAGGTGGCGGCTCGAATGAATGACTTCTCTCATTGTCCACCGAAGTGAATGAGCCTTAACCACAACACTCTCAACCACAACAACATTCCCCTTAACCACGAGATTCGCATCCACAACACACCTGACCACCAAAACAATCGCACTAACCATGAGAGCCTCATCCACAGCACACCCGACCACCATAACAATCGCACTAACCATGAGAGCCTCATCCACAACACACCCGACCACCACAACAATCGCATTAACCATGAAAGCCCCATCAAATTACTGAGAGGTCTGTATATGACAATCACAATGATTTGCTTTGTTCAGACTATGAGCTACGTTTTGTTAAAAGCTGAGTTTATGCTCGGCAAGCTGACGAACGGAAACGACAGAGGTAGTTACTGTTCACCTTCTCTTTCACCATAATTCCCAGGACACTAAGCTTAAACGTAAAACTTAAATTCTTCACATACTTTCTCAATTTTCAAAACCATTAATTTACACTCTAAAAAGTGTGTTTCTTCGTAGCCGTTTGATTTTCTGTCTTTAAATTGATCCGACGTCCATAAACAATTCACATAAACCCATATTTCTACTTTTTTGGTTTATAACTTTATTATTAAATGCAACCAGAGACCAACTAAGTTTCTTTACGGTTGCCTCTTAAAACAAACAGTTTTTCCTTCTATAAAAACAAGGTTATTTTCGTCCTAAATAAAACAGCTGTCATGGTAAAGTGTGTCAAAACAACATTGTGTCTTCGAGTGTAAACATAACTCAGAAAGTGTTCTTTTATGTAAGTGTCTCATAAATCAAACACACTACAAAGGACCCTCTTGTCTTCAGCATCAAGTAGCTTTGTAAATCATCTTCCAAGAAAATATCACAAGGCATCTTCTTCCTCACACAGTGTCTACATTCAGAAAAAAAAAGCTAGGGACTAAACATTTCAACCACCTGCTGCCTCTGTAATTTTGATGTGGAAAACAAAGATCATTTGTTTCTTCTCTTCCCTTGGAGTGAAACGATCTGGTCTTATGTTTTGTGCACGCTAGGTAGTTAGGATCACTCATTCCAAACTTGGACGGCTCTAATGGAATGGCTCTCTATCAAAGTATCGTTAATGCATAGCATAACTAAAGCCGTGAAGTCCGTATGTTTACTCTGAGTCTCCTCCGCCGCCGTGGTGTTGCAATCTGATGCAAGATATTTTGGAGTATCACGTGACATGTCTATGTGAAGCCTTCAAAGATCCAGACATGTTGCATCATTAATCACACCCAAGAGGATGCTCTAAATCTGATTAGTTCATGTGGAGCTAGTTATGATGCATCACGTTTTCTTCTAACTCTTTATTATATGTGATTATTGTATCATCTTTTTAGCAATACATCTCTTTTGCATCCTTATTGTTCAAGCTTCTCGTTGAGAGAAGAGAAGGAAGGTAGGGTTTGATAATTAGGGCTTCAAGTTTTTTTTAAAAGTTTTGTCTGGTATTAGATTAAATGTAGAGTTAACTGACGTTTATGGTTTACTAGTAGTAATTAACGGCTGATTTTTGAGTAGGTTAAATGGCCTAATCAACATATATGTAAGATTAAATTGACCAATTTTAAAAAGTTAGTGATTTAAACTACCCAAAGTCAAGTTCAAGATTTTTTTTTACCTTTTTTTGAAAGTTGAAGATTATTTTGGTGGTATTCTCCATTTTAAACTATATATATATATAGATTTATTCAGTTGTATAACAATACTATTAAGTAGAAGCAGTTTTTATCTACTTCCAAATAGTTTACGTTGAACCATTATATTTATTTAATTTTATGTTATTTTACATACAACAAATTTAATTATTATTAAATTAATATATTATTTTAATATATTATTTAAATATATTCAAAATAAGATATAAAAAATATTATTAACTACTTTTCAAATTACATTTAAAATCTTTTTATTTAAAAATAAATATTCATTGTTTTAATATTATGTTAATAATAAAAGTTGTAAAATAATATTAAATTCAATTACAAATGAATATTATCTCATTTTGATTTATAGGTAAAAAATAATAATTATAAATTACACTAAAATAATTCCCATTTTATTAAAAATTAGACTAAAATAATAATTATAAAATACCTTGATATATTTTATAAATTATAAAATAAATGAATTAGTTTTACAGAATAAAATATATTTATCTAGTTTATAACATACTTCAACTTATTAAAACAAAATACTATCATAAGATATTTAAAATAAGAAATAATTTTATATTTTAATATACATATCTAATTAAAACATTAGGATATAATGTAATATAAAATATAATACTAAATATAGTTGACATTAATATTATTTGATTATATGGACCTACATATTATGATTACAATTATAGTTTCTTGCAGATTATTTCATAAGAATATAAACAGTAAAAACTAGATTCATACTATACCTTTAATTTTTTTAATATAACTAAAATTAATATGAGGCAGGTTAGATAAATGAATTATCTTATTTTCATTAAATTATATTTATAAAAAAATTAATTTAATTAATATTTATGTTCAAAAATAAAATCTAATATGTTGGTAAGAGAGTTTAAGGATAGCAAGCTATATAATATATGTATATAAATTAACATGTATTTCATTAAAGCTAATAATATAAAATCTTTGTAACTACTTTAATTATGATATCTTTTCATTTTAAATATAAATAAATAAATAAATAAATAAATATATATATATATATATATATATATATATATATATATATATATATATTCAAATTTAAAATTTCTAATAAATTTTTGTTAAAATATTTTTACAATAACTTAATGTATTTTAAGTCATCGCTTATAAAATAAAAATTTTATATCATATCCTGTTTTATTTATTTTATAGTCATAATCATCATGTTAGAAGAAAATTATTATATTGAACTAAATATGATAAAATATATTACATTGATAAATTTATAAATTTTATTTTCATAAATATAAAATATTTATTTTAA